ATTTAAAAACATTATTAACACAGACATTTCGATTTAAATTACACACAATATTTATTTATTATTATGTCAACCGATCTCATCAAAATAACTTAAATGGTTTAATTACTTGCAGCCATGTATTTATTTAAGTTGAGGTAAATAGGTTAGCTGAATACATTTTTAGAGAGTAATATGCTGATTTGGTGCTCAAGAAACAATCATTAATATTATCAATGTTGAAAACAGTTGTGCTGCTTCATATTTTTGTGCATTATTTTTAAAAAAACAACGTTATATCATAAGAAATCCTTTATAACATTTAACATGTCTTTACTGTGCCTTTTGATACATTTAATGCATCCTTGCTAAATAAAAGTATTAAATCTTACTGACCCTAAACTTTTGAACGATAGAGTATCATTCATACATGTAGCACAAGCTACATTCTTAGGGTTACGCATAGATATATACACTATACAAAACCGCCGCCATCTTGGAACAGGGGTCTTGTCATAGGAAGTAGCTAGGTAATACAGTACATATCCATAATAAAGGCTAGATGTCTTATGGCGGAGTCTCTATCATCATCACCGGCGGCCATCTTGTCACAGGCAAGCTTTCTGGCGGGCTCTGTACCTGATGTAAGATAAGTGATCAGCACCAACACAAATACTCCTATCTCGTTGAAATCTTGACGGATTTACAAACGGTTTAGTTTCTTAGAAACATTATTAACGTGGCTATAATTCTGGATGATTATTTATTGATACACTTATTATTCATAAGTGTGCAGTGTCATAACTACATCTCTGACGTTTATAACAAACCAAACCATTTGAAAATCGGTAGAAAATAAAAAGTACATGCACCATTAAAACACAATGTTACGAGTGAGCCTGTGACAAGATGGCCGCCAGGTGCGGACGTCGACCTCCATTGGCCAGCAGCGCGGACGAGACATCTAGCCTTTATTATGGATATCTATGGTTAACACTGCTATCTCCGCCTGTACTTCGAATTCATGGATTTTCATGCTGAATTCATTGACTTTTGTGCTGCGTATGGATGTTCACACGAACGAAATCTGAACTAGAAAGATTGTTTTTTTTTTTTTTTAAACATTTTTTTTTTAAATACATGCCTGACCATTGGAACGAACCAAAAAAACTAGAAAATCGCATTCATGACGATTTATGGTGATTTTATTTTCGTAAGACCTTTGCCTACATTGACGCTGATGCATTAAAGAGGAGGGGCTCCCCTGTTCCAAGATGGCGGCTCTATTGACACATTCGTTCCAATGAACTGCCGTAGCCAAGGCGACATCTAGTGTATATATCTATGAGGGTTACGAGCTCGTTTAACAAACTACTCCGAAGTATAAGCAATATATTTAGTGATGATGCCTAAGCTTATGAGGAACACATGAATGTGAGGTCCCCAGAAATGTATGAATACACATTTCTGAAAATGTGTGCATGCTCAGAACTCACCCCGCCCAGGCGATGAGCGTGATGCACGCGTAGGGAGCCCAGGACAAAACGAATACCACTATGACCACAGCCGCTATTTTAGCCAGTTTCCATTCGCTCCTCATGGAATGCTGCTTCACAAAGGTGGACTTCCTAGAGCTCAGCCTTTTTAGATCTCTAAACACACACATAATACAGTAATGAACGTTTTTCAATGATCACTCTTCAAACTCAAGACGCCAGTGTGGGGCGCAGACCTGCAGGCCTGTCGTACGGCGAGGAACATATACAGGTAACAGAAGAGAATGATGGCCAGGGGGATGAAGAAGACAAAACAGCACAGCATCATGGTGTAACTCCTGTTGGCGGGAGACGGCGAGACGTAATCCCACGTGCATGATGTCATCAGACCTTCAGGGATGTAGGAACCTGCAAGAGCAATTTCATGCACGCTTTTAACAGACACTTAAAATGACCTGTGTTTTCTTTATTATAAGTCTACTTTAGGTCACATTAGAATATTTAAATTATTGAGATTTAATAGAACATTTAAATCCTACTCCAGCCAATCAGAGGAGCCAGACTCCAGGCCAGAGAGTAGAGCCAGATGCACAGGATGGCCAGAGAGGTTCTGCGTTTGGAGTTCCACTGGATGGCCTGCAGTGGTTTGGTAATGACCAGGTAGCGATCGATAGAGATGGCCAACAGGTTTATCATCGAGGTGATGCCAAACAGTGCGCCACAGAATGCATATATTTTACATCCTAAGGGCAAATAGAGAGAATACATGCATAAATATATCGTTTCTTACATAAAGTCAATACTGTGATTTACAGAATTTATAAGCCTTCAAAATATCATACATTTAGGTGAAAAGCCTAAATTTGAATTGTCTTAGACACAACTTTAATTGAAAATAAAGTGTTATGTAGTGGAGTGCATGCAAAAAAAACCTAAAAAGAGTTACCAAGTTCTCCAAACATCCACTCCTTATACAGGCAGTTGATGAAGAACATTGGAGATTGTGTGATGGCCATGAGGAAATCACTCACCGCCAGGTTCACTATGAAATAATTTGGCAGGCTCCGCAACTTTTTATTACTGCACACACACACACACACACACACAAAAAACACACATTAAAATCAAGTTAAATTTTACTACTGTTAAAACAGATAGAACAGTTTATCAACAATGAATATTATGTGTTGCTTCTACCTATATGTTTTTCTTCTTTCATAAAACAAGATATTTTTAAGAATGTTGGTAATGGTAACCAAATGGTTTTGGTTCCCATAGACTTCCATAATAATACAGTGGAAGTCAATGGGAACCTGAACTTCAAAATATCTATGAAGAAAGTCATTTAGGTTTGGAATGACATGAGAGTGAATAAATGATGACAGAATTTTCTTTTTGGGTGGACTATCCTTTAAATTGAATTTAAGTGCAAATACGTGATGCAAAAACATTTTTTGTACACTTGGACTGATCATATCCCTACTAATCTTTGTTAACTTGTTGTTAAGGATTGTTCAATAATCAAGTAAAACAAAACCTTACATTGTAAATGCATAAAAGTTATTTGGATCAAACAGATCAAATGCCCCCATTGCAGTTCTGTCCATCAATGATTCTCAGTATTCCCCGATTTCCTGGAATAGCAGTCAATTTCCTTCCACTATACAGAAGCCCATGATTGCAATAATTGCATCCAATTATGGAAATGCATCAAACGTGTCATTTATACCTCATTCACAATATTCCTAATTTCTAGCACATTAAGCACATTTTTCTTGAACACAAAGAAAAAAACAATTATGGAAAATGAGGATTAGGGCTGTCCAGTGACCTGCAGGGTGTTTTATATACATAACTTTAATCTGAGCAAGTGGGGATAGTAAAAAAGAAAAAGCTTTTTACCAGTATTTCACTGCCTGCTCTAGTTTTACCGCACTGACCCAATTCACTAAAACAATTAAAGTCAATATTATATTCGAGATTTGGTGCAGCATTATCCAACAGATGAGAGATTATCTGTTGAAAATAGGCAGGGAAACTGTCACTATATCACTTTAAGACTTAATTTTTAATACTTTTTATTTTACGATGTTATCTCATGGAAAACAAATCCATTTAAATATTGCACCATTTTAACTCTTTAACGTGGACAAAAAATAAACTATACAAAAAATTTAAGAAAAATTGACTCCAACAAAAAGAACTAGATAAGGAGACAAAAGATAACACTAAATAATGTTCATAAGGTTGCTTTTTTATTAATTGTTATTTAACTCTTTCCCCGCAAACCAACGCCATGCGTTTTTGACCATTTTCACAAAAATGTCATGGCCCCCAGAATATTTTGTTGTAGGAATATCTGCACATATATAAAAGAAAGAACAAACCACATTCATGAATCCTTTTTATCAACACTTGAATGTGGGTAAGTTTAATAAAAAAAGCAACATTTTGAGCAAAAAGCTGAGAAAATCACGTTTTTGTTAAAGACTACATCTGGATCAGATTCAGAACGATGATCAGTTTCAGTAGATCGAATCCATCAACACCCCTAATGCCTGCACAGTTTTGATTTATATGCTATTTAATGTTGATGATCGCTTTATTTTACATATGATTACATATCATATTGATTGTTTTTGCATCTTTGTCGCATGTGTTTTGATCTAGATATTCAGTACTCTTTCAGAAGATGCATAATAGCGCTCCCATATAACAGTGAAAACACGGAAAATTCCATCAAGTTTCATCAGCGTTTGTCTCACAAATGACAGAAATTTCCATCAATGGCGGGAAAGAGTAAATAATATTTTAATGTATGTAATTGTAACGTGTTAGAAATGCCTGAACAAAGATTAATCAAAAATACCTATTATTAAACATAGAGAAAACACATAAACAATATAGAACCTGGAACAGACTGAACTAAAGGCTTAAATACACAATCAACGGAAAACAAAACAGGCATGAAACTAATTACCAACCATGGAAAAAAAAAAAATAATTAGAGCTCAGGCAAATGGGCACAAGGAAAACCAAACTAAAACACAACTGACAGAACTAAACTGTAACAGAAGGGAGAGGGAAGAGCCGAGCAGAAGGAGCCAGGCGGGGACCCAGACCACAGCCAGGACGAAGGCCCACAGCGGAGTCGAAGGAGGAAGGAGCCATGGCCGGTGGACCCAGGGGGACGACCGACAGAGTTGGAGCCCCAGGCGGAGAAGAAAAGAGACCAATAAGACCAATAAGACCACGCGACACTATGGATCTGGAGACCAAGGCGGAGCTACAGCGGCGAGGATCCGAGGTTGAGCCAGGGTGCCAGAGGACTGAGGCGAAGGGAAGGCGGAGCCCAAAGATGCTGAAGGAGTGCAGGGACGAAGCACACCTGAAGGTCAGGAAATCTGTACCGGAGGGACAAGGGAGGTCGGTGGAGCAGTAAGGACGATGTTCCCAGGTGGAGCCGAGTGAGGGAGGAGCCAAGATGAACGGACTCGGCAGCTGGAGGCGAAGCCAGAGTATCCTCTTGACAATGCGAAACGGGAGACCAGAAGACCCGAGGCACATCCACACAGCAGAGTGGAGTCAGAGGAGGGGCCGAGGGACTGAAGGGGACTAGCGGAGGCGTGGAAGATGAATCTGGCTGTTATGAACAGAGGCGATGGGAGAGGGGGGCTGGGCGGGATCCTTGGAGACACAGGAGACTTGGAGCTGGGCGGGATCAACGAGGATGGGAGACAGGAAAATATCCTCTTCCATTCCCTCATAATAGTTAACAGAGGCCGACGGGAATGTGGGCTCTACTCCATGCCCTCGAACTCCACGAGGACACTCCCAGTGACAGATGGTGTAGCCGGCTCATTCAACCTGGTCAAACAATCCGTTAGGCTCGGCCTCCGGGGTTATGATTGGCTGAGTGTTTGTTCCATCTAGCGCTGACATCGTGGCAGTGTGTGAAAGACGGCTGGCTGGGCTCTGGGTCCGGAGTGGGGCTGGTGATGTCCTCCTCTGTGGGGCAGATGGTGAACGGAGATTCGTTATTCACCAGGACCCACTCCACAGGTGGCGAAATCTCCCTGAGGACCAACACCGGGCAGGCGTGCCTTGGATTGCTCGCTGAGGCTGGTAAAGTAGAACACACAAAGCAAGCAATCTGGATAGTGTGTATTGCCGGGGACACACTTATCGACTAGCTGAAACATTCTAAGACTGAACTGAACACACTTACAGACTTTCCACCGACTGCAGTAGATTTTAAAGCAACACCATGTAACTTTTCCTCTGCGGTCGCCCTACAGGTTGGAAGCGGAATTGTCCATTACCGCTGTCGTAGCCTACCGAAGCCTACTGTCGCACGCACGCTCGCTGTTTATCCAGCACCGGCTTTGGAATGAACGATGTCCACAGCCAAGGTAGAGTATGTTGCATGATTTCATGAAAGTATGATGTATTGCGACATCAGAAACAAAGAAAAACAAAATAATGACTATTGTAACGCTTGACGTAAAGCAAGTCAAATTTGTAGTTTTCTTATGTCTCATTAGAACTACAGAAACTCGACCCGATCTGGCAATCTTACATAGCGTGGTTATAGCAGATATAGGACCGCAAAGCGGAGGCATAAGTGCCTTTCACCCTGTTACGACTTAATGAACCACTGAAACGATTTTGGAAACATTATTTTAAGGTAAAAAATCTTACTTAGTGTTGCTTTAAACACTGACTGTGAGCATTGACTGAATGCGACTTGGGCATGATCAGTCGTAAGTATCAAATTACATTCATAATCGGCCTTACAGTCATTAAGTGTGTCCCCGGCTTAAGGCACACCAGATCTAAGAAGTCCTTGGTGTGGTCCTCTATAGATTTTGCTCCTCCTTTTCTAGGCAGAGCAGTTGGATGGCCAACAAGTACATAACAGGGAAAAAACACTGCAACAAATCAAATCTAGGTTCGGTATTCTGTAATGTGTTAGAAACGCATGAACAAAGATGAATAAAAAATACTTATTTATTAAACAAAGAAAAAATACTAGGAGAAAGATATAGCAATAACACATTCACATAAACTAATCAACGGAAAACAGAACAAGTGTAAAACTAATTCGCAACCATGGAAACAAACAAAGAACTAGAACTCAGGCAAAGGGAAAACACAATGAACTGACAGAACTAAACATAACTGTAGCAGTAATACTTATGCTATTCATATTATTATATTATATCATTTAAATATAATGTAATTACATATTTATATATAATATATTTATGTGAATACAGTATACCATTAAAAAATATTACACAATGCTTACCAGATTAATAGTTAATGAACATCCACATAAGTGACATTAAATAGTTTTTGAATGTTTACATTGTGACATATCAGCTGTCCTTCTAACATATCAGTAACAGTTTATAGTAAGGTCTTATTGGTAAACAATGAACAATATATATTTTAAAGCATTTATTAACATATGATAAATGTTCATGTGTGTAGACAGTGCATTTATTAACGTTAACAGACACAACTTTTGACCTTTGAGAAACTGTATGTTCAGATTAACACGAGCTAAGATAATGTTTTAAATGTATTGTTTATTGTTAGTTTATGTTTGCTAATTTAGTTAACTAATGTTAACAAATGAAACATTATTGTTAAGTGTTACCAAACATTTTATAAAGCATTTAGCTAATTATTTTATAATGATTATGCATGCAGCTTTAATGACTTCATAATAATATATTTACTTTTTACAAGACCTATTTAAAATGTAGTTAATTTGTAGTAGTTTAAAATTATTTAAAAAAAATAATAATTCACGGAACCATTCTCTTATACGTATACCCAAGCATCAACTACTCAAATATAAATAAAAGTGTATGAATCATGTTTAACAGAATTAATGTAGGCTACATTAACTAATCCAGTAAGAATTAAATCATTTAATAACGTCTGTTAATTAGTTTAAATGTTTCAAAGTGTTGCCTAACATAAAACCCCAAACTTTCTGAGATGAGCTCAATGACATTTGCTTCAGTTCTTCAGTTCATCCCCTCAGCGCTCATACCTGTAAAAGGCGAACATGACCAAAGCGTTACCCGTGACTCCCAAAGTGCCGATGATGAGGACGAGGAAGGCGATGATGTAATGCACATGATCCGGGATGTCCAGTCTTTTGTATATCTGCCGTTGGGGCTCCATCGTCAAACTGAACACTGAGATACACCAACTAAAACTGGAGAAGAACACTTCAGCAAAGCAAGCGTGAGTGCAGACTCAGTCATGGTCTCCGTCTTCTGTTTCCAGCATCACCACTTCTCAGTCTGTCATGCTCAGGCTAAGAGACTTCAGTTACACTATCAGTAACAGCAACAGACGGACAACACAGCGACCTACTTGTCGGAGCAGTTTAGTCATGTCACATGACACACCCCACTCTCCATCATCTGTCCCACCCTTGTCTGTGTCTTCATGGCAATCTCACGCTCATCTCACACACACACCAGCAGCACATTATTTATTCAACAGAAGAGAACATCACATTCTCTTGAGAAGACCCAAGCCGCCCGAGACTAAAAGCAGCAAGACTGAGAGCATGTGTCAGATAGATTATAGTGCTTTCTGTCTGTGTTCGTCAGGTCTGTAATGGACGTGGAGTCTTTTTTAAACAGGTCAGAGGGTGAGAGTGGCAGAAGGAGATTCAGAATGAGAGAGTGAATGAGGGCTTGAACATGAACAGCTGCAGGGATTCGTGATGCTGAGCTTTAAAAAAAACACCAGGAACCTTTCCTGAGGTCAAACCTGTGGGACAGAGCGACCTGATCACTGCCTTTACAATCCACTAGTGTTGCTTTGTTAGTATTGCTAATGTACCATTCATATTTTGAATTAGTTCCTCTTACATTATATATATTTTTTTTCATTTTAATTTTAGTAATTTTATGTGCATTTTTATTATTTTTTCATGTTTCTATTTAGCTTTAAATTGTTTTTATTTTAATTTTAGCAATTTTCAAATTCAACAAATTTAAGTTTTCATTTAATATCAACATTTTCAGCTTTCAATTACTGAAAATGATTTTTAATAGTTTTAGTTTTAGTTAACGATGACAACCCTGCAATCCACCGTGTATTTCTGAATAGGATTCTGTCTTTCATCAATATCTGAAAATGCAAAAATATATATATTTTTTAAATTTTCACACTCAGTAACATTAATCACATTGGGTAAATGCATTGTCCTCATGGACAGTAGACATATACTGTACACTGTGTAGTTTTATACTCATCACCACGTTTAATGTATTCAATTTCAGCATCAATTTTACTTAAACTTATTAGTGATTTCAACTTATTTATCAACCACTAATGAAGTATGTTCTAACATGAGGTAACAGTCGATCTGCATCCGAAACGTTTTACTTCCCTATGAGGGGAAAAAAGAGTATGTGAAAAGAATAGTAAGTCAAAATTCATAGTATTCATCAAACAGTATATAAGCAAATAGTACCCAGATGACCTATGTCTGATGAGATTCTGAAATGTGCATCCAATGAACACAATGCTATCCCATGAGGCCACGGGAGCGGATTTGTGAATGGCGAATGCAACTGAAGCTGTAGGTCACGACAACATGACGAATGTAAGATTACATTTCACATATAGAACATATAGCCTACTTTTTCAAAGGGATAGTTCACCCAAAAATGAAAAATTTGTCTGTATGAGTTTCTTTCTTCTGTTGAAAGAAGATATTTTGAAGACTGTTGGTAATCAAACAGTTGACGGCACCCATTGATGTCAATAGTAGGAAAAAAATACCATTGAAAGTCAATGGTTACCGTCAACTTTCCTAAAAACTTTAGCAGAAAACAACAAAAACCAGCAAATAAAAAAGCTTAATGGTTAGTCCTAAGAGACTGTGTGTGTTTGTCTGCATGTTCTGCTCGTCCATCTCTTTAACACCGTAATCCAGGCATCACTTCTGTTCTCTCCACGGCAGTCAACGGCATGCTATGGGATTGAAAGATGTGGGATTATATATCTGTCCATAATCCTACATCTTAGCTAAAACCTCGCTGACAATAACAGCATTACTCTAATTCAGCCTATATGACAACCATGCTCACAGCAACACGACTGAGATTATATTATAGATCAAGGAATCAATCCAACTAACCTGGAACATAAGAGCTTCCAACTAATCTGAGAAATGGGAAAGGATGAGGTCTGCGGGATCATAACACGCTCTTAGAAATAAACTTGCTTGATAAACACAAATGAATGTACACTACCTTTCAAAAGATTGAGTCACTAAGGTTTTTAAAATAAATGGACACTTTTAATCAGCAAGGATGCTTTAAATTTAACAAAAGTGACAGTAAAGACATAATGCTGTTCTTTTGAACTTTCTATTTAAGAATCCTAAAAACGTATCACGGTTTCCACAAAGCATCCACCCACAACACTCTCGAGTCTCGACTCAATATAAAGAGGAACACTGCGTCCAAATTCACTTAGGCTACTATCCATCCTACAGTATTCAAAATTAGAATCAGTGTGTCCCTAATTGTATTGACACAAATCCCAAAGACACCCAGGTGTAATTTTTCCGGTTAGAATCTGAAATGCAGATCCGTCCACACTTTAATATTGCCCACAACCCTTTGTGCGTTGGACGAGGATTCAATTAGAACTAGAAACATGACTTAAAAGTGTTAAAAAACTACAAACATGGCGGATGTGTGCGACCAATAGTAGAGAGGTTTGAGTGATTAATAATCAGTAACTAAACTAACGAAAATATATTTATTCAATGTTATCCGCATTATATTTTATTTGCAACAACATTGTGAACTTTTATAAAGATACGTTTGGTCATTAAGGGACAATGTGTACTTTTTTATGAATTTTATTATTTAAAAATCAATATTTTTATTCATAAATATGTCCTCAATGGTGTACAAATACCTCTGCCAATTATTTGACTTATCCCCGTAAACGAAGAATTTATTATCTTTATATACATGGGACGGGTTGGTCCACGGCATAGACAGTATAAGAAGTGGACAGAGCCATCTCATTGGAACTCAGTTGAGACAGTTGAAGCCCATTTTTAGCGATTTTTGAGCACTTCCGTTCCTGAGGCGCAGACTCAGACCGACTCAAACTAAGCTTGATGACGTGAGCAACCTGTCTGACAGACGTAAATCTTCTAGTAGCTGTGCGTGAAAACTGCCAACGTTAATCTTGCAGAGACGGGGAACTTGAGCAAAGAGTTCTTTGGCGTGAGTGAGCAGGAGTAAGTATTCCGTTGCTTTTATGGACTCATTATCTATGGGCTTCTCCCTTGACGGGACGTCCCCCCGATTGCCTGCGAGCTTCTCCTCCTGTCTGTACGGTCATTTCTGTACAGCGCGACAGAGAGTCGAGTGGTTATGACGCAATCGTTAGCCTATTTTTACTAAATCTGTTTCTACGGGGCCATAATGTAACATAGAAGGTAATGGAGCCCTTTATACATTGTCGTGTGTCTTTAGAAATAAATAATGGACAAATGGAGTCTTTAAACGCCTCAGATGTAAAGTTATTCGCTGTCAAAGTGACGCCAAAATGAATGGGAGTCAATGGAAATGCTAACGCAAGTAAAGTTCTGCTACAACATGGCGGCACCCGGCCGGCTTCAACTCCCGGTCGATGGATTACCCCCTTGGTCCACGGAGGCTTCCATGTAGTTCCGCCATCTTGAAAAACTATAATAGCAGAGAGGGACAAAAAGTACTAGGCCAACGTGTTTCCACAGCGCGTTTTCGTTCAGATTCAGCGTAACTGAAAGCAGCAGAAACGGAGGAGCAGAGCAGGGAGAGGCGCTTGTCACTGCCACGGCAAGTTTAAAAGGCTGCGTTGCAAATCCTCGTCGCCAGAAAAGTCCAAATAGATCGTAAAAGAAAACGTGACCGGAGATTACAAAAAACACGAGTTAATGTCGGGATAGCTTTTTCCAGGTGGATAGAGCTCAGCTAACGCAGGAGAAAGATTTCAAAAGAGACGCTGAAGTCCTGCTTTCTTCTCGACAGGTAAGTCAATGTTACAGTCTTAATTACAAGCTTTTTTTCAGACAGAAGAACATTTATAGTTAAAAGTTGATGATGATATCTAACAATGCACGTACTTCAGAAAATATAACGAATAAAGAAGGCATAACTACTTATTACAATAGTTCATGTTTTTCACAGTCAGTAATTCATACTGTATCATTCGACGAAGTGCTATTAGAAGACATCCTGTCATAGCTTTTTGGTACTTAATGGCTACCGTAGATACAACGCGCATTTGAAAAAGCGAGGCGATGGAGAGCACAATAGAGGGAATGCGTATGACGTCACCCTCAGCTGGAGTGATTGCGGTCACGCCCACTCGAGTGGCAAAAAGACTGAGCGGCAGCATTGGTTTTCAGCGTGAATGCCGTGAAAAACACAAAAAACACATCTAAAATGGGAAAGAGCTTTGCGATTGACTGTACAACTACATTTCACAAGAAATCTGAGGTATATTTTTACAGACTGCCAAAAGCTACAGAACAGAGAAGCAAATGGATCGATGCAATTCATAGAATCAACTTGACTCCAGAGAAAAGTGGATTTGCAGTTATCATTGAGCACGTTTACATGCACACCAGTAAGATGATAACTCACATATATCAGCTTATTGAAATAACCAGTTTCCCGTTTACATGCAAACCAGTAACCATGACAACACAAGTAAACCGTGTTTACATGACTTTATTAATAAATCAGGCCATGACCGTGTGACGACAAAACAATCATTTGCGTATCTGACTTCATTTGTTTTGTCGGTTGATGTTAAATAAAGCTTGCAACATGTCAGCGGGAAACTTACAGCTCGTATATTCTCTCATGTCATGCAGTTACAGATGCAGCGTTTTGACTGAACCACTTCTACTTCTGCTGCAGGAGATGAGAAAAAAAAGCAGAAAGCAGGTTAATGCGTTTACATAATGCGAAATCCGAGTAAGAGGCAAAAAACTACCAGTGTAAAAGAAAACGGGTTTCCCGTGTTTACATGACCACATGCGTTGTTATGACAAAAAAAAACTATAGGCTACAAGTTTTAGGGCTGGACGATATGATTATAGCCTATATATAACATTGATATGAGTGATCACCTGGATTTAGACCTACCTATATTGTATTTATATACACAGGCAAATTTGCTTCACGTATTTCCCCGGCGTCGAAATCAGGCACACAAATGTCAGGAAACACAATGGCTGCGTGTCAATATGGATCACTGGATCTTTGGTAGGCCTAAATTGTAAGGAACACTTATATCGAGTCCAAACATCGTTTGTTTTACTCTCGTTTCCGCAGTTTCCCCTATTAAATCCAGTCACGCAGCAGCTCTTTTGCCACTCAGTCCCGCTGAGGGGGCGTGTTCACGTGGGACACGTGACATCAATGCATTCCCTCTATTCGTTTAAATGCAAAATACATTTTCACGCTAGATGGGAGAAATTCCTACACATTGTCCCTTTTAATTTGAAATGCATCACACGACTGGCAGATCAACATGCTACAACATTTGTTTTCGATATGGTAGAAAATTCTATTAAATTGAATGTGAAGGATTTAAACGGTGACAAGAGGATTTACAGGGCAGTTTCAACATTGACCTGATGCATGTAACCAAGCGATCCGTTAAAGACGCAATTATGAAGTATGTCCCAAATTGCCTACTCTTCTGCTACACACTCAAAAGTGTGCACTGTTTCTTCACAAAAACAGTACATACTTTTAGGGCATAGTATAGGCGAATTAGGATGCAGTGGACGAGCTTTAGGAATCCCGAATCCAGAGTTATGGACAAAAGCAATCTGATGTTTCTATAGAACAGTGGCACCGGTAAAGTCATAACATATAAGTAAGCCTCTTTAGCCTGTCTTGAACAAATCAATTCTGTAGCATTGTGCTTTAATGTAAAAATGATCTTAAATGTGGCTGATATGAAATTCAATGTCTGTTTAATCAAGAGAATGTTTTGAAGGATGGATTAATGGTGCACAACAATAACATTACATTATATAAACACTATGAATGTTAGGTTGAAATGTGATTTTAACCAGTGGAGTGCAGTGCTGTTCTAAAACGAGGAAGCCTCACAGATCAAATGTAAATCACGTCCCATGCAGTTACACGTAATGTTGTCACATTTTCCTGGTTAAATAAACATTACATCAAAACAAAAAAAGAGAAACCAAATACAATGGTATTTTGTATTCATACTTACTAGTGTAAATCCCTCATTCATCATTTTTTTAGGCCATTTCAAAATTGATTTTGGCTTGACATAAAGCGGTGATATCTAAGTGCCCAAGTTATTTACTTACTTTTTAATTAGTCTTCCCATTAATGCCATACTTTTGCTCATTCAGACCGATTCGCGAACGCGCACAAAAACAAGAGGCGGGATTTATCGCATTAACCAATCATATCCAAATCATAACCCATCATATCCCACCATAGCACGATGGAGGCATTGGCTCCTCTCACGTGACTTTCCCCATTCATTCTCAATTACCTCCCATCAAACCCACCGCACACTTAAGGGGGTCTGTTAAAACTCATTAGGCTCAGGGGAGTACTGGTACTTTAGAAAAACAAGTGATTTGTTCACTTTTTAATGTCACATTTTGTAATATTTGCGTTGTTTAATTTTTGTTATATGGGTCATTTACTCATCCAATTGTTTGTCTCCTCGAAGGAAACACAATTTCAACCAATGCAAATGAATAAAGCAAATGGAGGAAAGTGATAAATCAAAAATCAAAACATTGTTTTAAAAAAAATCTGATCATTGCATACAGAAAATAAGCTTTCCCTCATATTCTGTTTTTATTTCTGTAGTGAATTTGCAATTAAATCACAATTTTTTATCTTTTATGTCTTCAGGGATGGACAGATTTTCTTGGAAAGCATTATTTTGGCATTGGGCATATGGCTCCACATGGCTGGCAATCTATTCCCCAGAGAAATGAGATAATGTGTAATTTACCACGGCTTTAAACTTTGCTATCAGGGTCATGTGACAACTTAATCTTTTGTTGTCTTGGGATTACTTCTATTTCAGGCCAAGATGAATGGTCATGTAATTTTTCATCTGGAATGAATGATTACTTGCTGATCCTCTGTTCGGCTTAAACATCAGCTTCATGTGGAGAAATGTGTCAACCTGGGCAGAAAAAAAAAAAGAAGAAAACGTTTTTTTTAGGCATAAACATTGAATATCATAACAAGTGTGTCATCATGGTCACTCTTAAGAAAAGGTTGGGTTCTTTCAGGCGCTTCATAGCATTTTAGGAGTTCCCATCATGGAATCATTTTATGGATTTAGTTTTAATTAATTAACATAAACACATTTTCACTAGAAATGTTTTTAAATCCCGTTAAACATGAAATTATTATGCCATCTATTAAGACATTACTCCTTATATAGAACGTTTTTTGGCATAGGCCTACATCGCCATCGCATCGGTATTAATCATCTATCAACTCTCAGAAAGGGTATTTTCGTGGCCACAGAAAAATAACTCTCTTAGCATGTAGCTGATCGCATCATTAAAGGGACATTGATTCACAAGCAGGGTCCAGAATCAAAACGTGTAAAATGTACACAAAAGTTGTATTTATTACTAAATCACGAACACATAACTAATCTAAACAAACACATAGCCTACACACAATCACAGTGAAAGTATATGGAACCGGAAACAAAAACTGAGAATGAAGCCATGGACATAGACAAGAACCATCAGTTTCTTATTTCAAAGCACCTTGATAGCAAGGGGTAGGGTCTGTTGCTTATAAGAAACCTCTGTTTAGTTAAAGTTAGTCAAATGTAGGATACTTGCACTTTAGCCGTCGACGAGCGTCCGGATACAGTCTCATGAGAAAGCTAGTTCGGTCTGATGGTAGGCCTGGTAAAGTGTTGGGAAAGTTTTCGGAGGGAAAGTTTACAACCCTTTGTTTTAAGCATGGTATTTTGCATATGTAACTGGATTGGTCGTTGATGGAGAAACTATTAAAGATTCTTGTAATACTAATATGTTGCAAAGGTATAAAAATATAATATACAATATCGTGTAGGTCATCAAAATACAAATTTGTAGATAAGAATGGTGTATATGGGATCTTGATTAATCGAGTAATAGGCCTACTAAAACATTAATTCAAGGATTAATACATATCAAACACTATAAAAGAAGGGATGATTACATAGGGAAATTAGATAGGCTACATGTTGTATGTCTCAAGTAAGTAATCATACAACCGAGTAGGAAAAGGCTACATATCTATTTCTATCATAAAGCACGCATAAAACAGTATAAAGACACTATATAAGACAGATATTTATAATTAATTTTAACGAGTTATAATTAAATATTCATTTTTCCCTTGAGCAAATTTTTTAGAGCTACAAATATTAAAACACTGTTTTAATATACAGTATGTATATATATATATATACACATATTAAAACAGTGTTTTAATATTTGTAGTTCTAAAAAATTATAGGCCTGGTTTCACAGACAGGGCTTAGATTAAGCCAGGATTAGGCCTTAGTTCAATTAGGACATTCAGTAGCTTTTATAAACGACCAACTTAGAAAAAAAACATTACTGGTGTGGATCTTGAGACAAAATATTGGCAGCAACATATTTTAAGATATTGCTTTCAGTTAAAACAGCTCAAACATGCATTTTAGACTAGATTTAAGCCTTGTCTATGAAACCAGGGGATAATTCTTATAATTATATTCTTTTTAACATATATAATTAAAATAGTAGGCAGACTATATGTAGTTTTAAAGACTACCAATCTACTGTTCTGATTTGATTTAGAAAAGATTCATAGTTTGGCTTCGATAACTCTGTAATACAAGCATCTGCTAATTTACTTTAAAATAAATTTAAAGATACACCAACGTAAAATTAAGTGTCGGACATTCTTTTTATTTTATGAATAAAATCAGTAAGTCACATTTTTGATGGCAAAATGATAGGCTTTTTTAAACATCAAGGCAGAAAAAAATTAAGAGATGCATTTTTTTTGCAGACATCCATTACCGTGATAAAGAGCTACAGTAAAAAATAAACAGCTACAGTAGCTACTAAAGAGTCTTTGGGATTCATAAAAGTTTGTAGCTAGAAGGAAAAGAGAGGCAGAGCCTCTGATACAAAAGACAAATCACATCACTTTGTCCTTCCACCACTAGCAGCCTAAAAACTCACAGTGCAAATATTTTACCTCAGAAGAGAGAGAGAGACACTACTCTATGACAGCCTGACTCTTCAAAAGCTATATTCCTCAGAATGAATCTTCATCTATTAATTCAGCAGTCTAAATACTGATACAAAATTAATGATAAAAAACAAACAAACAAACAATAAACAAAAATACAGTTGCCCCAATCATTGCTCTTGTAGGGAACAATGTAAATACACCTGACTAGGTTTGAACAGGAATTGGTTGCTGATTCATAAGAGCCATAACAGGAGAGTTGTATATTTGAAAAATAAAAAGTAATTCTATGCAGTAAATTTTGCATAAGGAATAAATAACCTCTGAGCTCGCCCTGTCTTCAAACATCTGCATGCTCACTTATTATATATGATAACATTTAGTCATTTACCACGATTCAATGACATGGTTGAAAACCTTTCAGTTAATTCAGGGAAAGTGCGGAAGCTAAAAAACTCCAACTCTGACTGTTATAGCAGGAGTTGGTGTATAACGGAGAATTTATCTTTATCTTCATCACACCAAGCTAGATGCTTTTCATCAGATGGAGGGTAATGTTTGGGTCTTTAATTATCTTACAGCTTATTGATGATCTTCTCAGCTGAAGTCAGTGATATTTGTGAGCTGCTGTTCCTGATATTCATAAGTTGTGGTGGTTATTTTTGAAGAGTACACGTGGATATGCTGTTCTTGGGTCGCTGGTGTTCAGTTGGTGCAGGTGTTGATGTTCTTGCCGTCAGCTGCATCGTCCACCAGAGACAGATGGTAGTCCGTGGCGAGAGTGAAATGAGAAATGCATCCCACTAAACCTCGCATGTACTGCCTGTTAGTGTGCAACGCAATCTCCTTCATCCCACCTGGAGAGACAGAGTGAAACTTTCAAACTAGACAAATACCCGCACACACACTGCTGTTCAGAAGTCAGTAAGATTTTTTATTATTACATTTACATTTATTCATTTAGCAGACGCTTTTATCCAAAGCGACTTACAAATGAGAACAATAGAAGCAGTTAAACTAACAGTAGGACAACAATATGTAAGTGCTATAACCCCTCTCAGTTTAACTTTATTATGTTTTTGAAAGAATCTCTTATTGCTCACCAAAGCATAATTTATTTGATTACAGTAGAGTAAAACTGAAATATGATTACAATTTAAAAGAAGTCTTTTCTATTCAAATATATTTTAAGATGTAATTTATTCCTGTGATGCAAAGCTGAATTTTCAGCATCATTACTCCAGTCTTCAGTGTCACATGATCCTTCAGAAATCATTCTAATATGCTGATTTGATACTCAAGAAATATTTATGAGTATTTAACAATGTTGAAAACAGTCGTGCTGCTTTATATTTTTGTGGAAATCTTGATACAGTTTTGCAGGATTCTTTAGAAAGTTCAAAAGAACAGCATTTATTTGAAATAGAAATCTTTTAAAACATTATAACTGTCTGTACTGTCACTTTTGATTAATTTAACGCATCCTTTCTGAATAAAATAGTTAATTTTTTTTGTCCGGTAGTGTAATTACATTTTTTTATTTTAACATCTATTGTCATTATTATCAGCATAATTAAAGTCACCATGAAATCAAAATGGAAAACTCTTGTATTTTATGGAATATTGCAGTATCTATTATAAATGATTTATCTGTGCTCATCACTAGTTTTTTACTCTTGTTCCCCTAATAATCTTTAATCAAAATGACTTCCCCTTCCTCTCACAGCATCATCTCTTCTCTTCTCTGATGATGTGTTTACTGGCGTGAGGGCGGGGCAACCTGTCACTCACGAGATCCACCAATAGCAAACCACAACCATCCAATCAATTCCCCATGACAATATCAAGTCCCACCCTACATCTTTTCTTGTTCGAGAATGGATATAATTCACAATAGGGAAGAAAACACAATCACAACTTCCTTTTCATGCTGACTTTTTTCATCTTTATCATTAAAATTAGCTTGTGTTGCTTCTTACCAATGTAAAGGTCACCGTTGATGTTGAGCTGTCTCATCTTACCCGGAGATCTGCCCGTTTTAGCTCCGTAATCATCGACAGTTAGTTTACCAGACTGGCCATCCCTTCAAACAGAGACAAACATGAAGGCTTGGTAAAACTCTGTAAAGCTACAGCGCTTTTAAATGGTGCAAATTGCCTCAAATTCATCTACATATGACAGTCTATGAAGAAAGACATGCTGAATAATGATGCTGACCTGACAGCCTTCACTCTGTGCCATTTCCCATCACTAAATGTGCCATTAACGACCACAGTGGCGGCTCCACTACCAAGATTATAACTGTAAGGAGAATAAGTGATGTTAGGGTGATGCTTTTGATCCTCTATTGTAAATTGTCTGCAAAAATGCATGAATGTAACACGCAGACGCGAGCGGACATGTCGTTATACCTGAAAATGAGCGCTCCGTCTTGAAGGCCGAGAGACAGGTAGTCACTGTTGGCTCTCATTGGACTGTCCCCCCGCCATAGTAAAAGACCGTCTTTGGACGTGCTCTTAAAACGCATGAACATGTTTGTTCTGGAACCTGATATCCTGCAGAGACATGCAACATTATATTAGGATGCATGTATGCACAGAACCTTCACATGGAGAATATAATGTGAAAGCAAAAGCACTTTACCTTTTGAGGATATCTCTGTTGTCATATGTCAGATAGCTGCGTCCAGTGAACTGAGGGATCTCTATTGATTCAGTAACAGCTGATCCAACAAAAGTAAAAGAGTGCAGAGTTATTTAACGTCCACTAGATGGCAGCACACATCATAAATTCACTAAAGCCATTCTTGTTACTCAGTAAACAAATGAGAGCCTGCCTTAAGCACTTACTGTTTAAGCAATAATTCCCACATTCTGCACAATGAGAGCACAAAACAGAATAAAATAAGCTTAAGAAAGGGTTTGAAGTGTTATGGAAGAAGTCTGCAAAGAATATCAAAGCAACGTCTCAGTCTAAAGCCAAACGCAAAATACACTCACCTAAAGGATTATTAGGAACACCATACTAATACAGTGTTTGACCCCCTTTCACCTTCAGAACTGCCTTAATTCTACGTGGCATTGATTCAACAAGGTGCTGAAAGCATTCTTTAGAAATGTTGGCCCATATTGATAGGATAGCATCTTGCAGTTGATGGAGATTTGTGGGATGCACATCCAGGGCACGAAGCTCCCGTTCCACCACATCCCAAAGATGCTCTATTGGGTTGAGATCTGGAGACTGTGGGGGCCATTTTAGTACAGTGAACTCATTGTCATGTTCAAGAAACCAATTTGAAATGATTCGAGCTTTGTGACATGGTGCATTATCCTGCTGGAAGTAGCCATCAGAGGATGGGTACATGGTGGCCATAAAGGGATGGACATGGTCAGAAACAATGCTCAGGTAGGCCGTGGCATTTAAACGATGCCCAATTGGCACTAAGGGGCCTAAAGTGTGCCAAGAAAACATCCCCCACACCATTACACCACCACCACCAGCCTGCACAGTGGTAACAAGGCATGATGGATCCATGTTCTCATTCTGTTTACACCAAATTCTGACTCTACCATCTGAATGTCTCAACAGAAATCGAGACTCATCAGACCAGGCAACATTTTTCCAGTCTTCAACTGTCCAATTTTGGTGAGCTCTTGCAAATTGTAGCCTCTTTTTCCTATTTGTAGTGGAGATGAGTGGTACCCGGTGGGGTCTTCTGCTGTTGTAGCCCATCCGCCTCAAGGTTGTGCGTGTTGTGGCTTCACAAATGCTTTGCTGCATACCTCGGTTGTAACGAGTGGTTATTTCAGTCAAAGTTGCTCTTCTATCAGCTTGAATCAGTCGGCCCATTCTCCTATGACCTCTAGCATTAACAAGGCATTTTCGCCCACAGGACTGCCGCATACTGGATGTTTTTCCCTTTTCACACCATTCTTTGTAAACCCTAGAAATGGTTGTGGGTGAAAATCCCAGTAACTGAGCAGATTGTGAAATACTCAGACCGGCCCGTCTGGCACCAACAACCATGCCACGCTCAAAATTGCTTAAATCACCTTTCTTTCCCATTCTGACATTCAGTTTGGAGTTCAGGAGATTGTCTTGACCAGGACCACACCCCTAAAGGCATTGAAGCAACTGCCATGTGATTGGTTGATTAGATAATTGCATTAATGAGAAATTGAACAGGTGTTCCTAATAATCCTTTAGGTGAGTGTAATGTGAAATATGCAATGGTAAGTAGTCTGCACTGTTTTCAGTTATCATCATTCAGTTATTTGCATTTCTTTTATGTAATTTTGTATTTAAAAAAGCCTGATGAAATAATAAGCCATTATAGGAGCATATACAGTATATCCTTTAGAGTTGTGTGTGTGTTTTCTCACCTTTCTGGCAGTGTTTCCCATCATACCCAAGCGCACAGTCACAGTCGTATCCGTCCCACTTGGGTCTGCATGTTCCCCCATTAGCACACGGGTTCTCCACACATGGGTGAGCTGCGTTCAACACGTTCACCCCAAAAGCCTGACCTGGATTCAGCTCTATACTGCGGTCATTCAGAGAGATCTGGGTCAGGAGGAAAGACTGGAAATTATTTTACCATTTTAAGATGAAATCTGCACATGGATCACACACAAACAGTAGTAAACAGTCAGATTCTGATGATTAAAGGGTTAGTTGCCCTAAAAATGAAAATTCTGTCATCATTTACTCGTTCCAAACCTGTAAGACTTTCGTTAATCTTCAGAACACAAATGAAGATTTTCTTGATGAAATCTGAGAGATTTCTGTGCCTCCATTGACAACTACCACTTTGACGCTTTAAAAAAGGTCCTAAAGAGATCGTAAAACTAATCCATATGAATTGAGCGGTTTAGTCCAAATTTTCTGAAGAGACTCGATCACTTTATATGCTGACCAGATTGAATTTAGGCTTTTGTTCACATATAAACATTGATCAGCGACCATGAAAAGACGCTTAACAGTACTTGCTTGACGTACAAGAACAAACCTCATTGGTTCTTGCTGAAGCTCAAACATGATGCGTAACACGAGAATGAACCTCATTGGTTCTTGCTGAAGCTCAAACATGATGCGTAACACGAGAATGAACCTCATTGGTTCTTGCTGAAGCTCAAACATGATGCGTAACACGAGAATGAACCTCATTGGTTCTTGCTGAAGCTCAAACATGATGCGTAACACGAGAATGAACCTCATTGGTTGTCACACGTCAAACAAACATGCTTGAGCTTCCGTTTACCACAACTGATGTGTGAGTTGATGAATGTTTATATGTGAATAAAAGCCTAAATTAAATCTGTTCATCATATAAAGCGGAATGACACGAGAGTGAGTAAATGATGACAGAATTTTCACTTTTGGGTGAACTATCCCTTTAAAGCTCCTGTGATGCAGCTAACACTAACTACACATCTTCGGTCTCATATTGAATTAACTGCAGTTGAATTTAAGCTACTTAAAATCATGATTATTTGTTAACGTTGTTATGTGGATGTCAGGGGGCTTTGGGTGTTTGTAGTATCTTTAACCAGTATCTACTGTCTAAACTAGTACCTTCTGAACCGTTCCACTGAAGGGTCTCAGGACGCCAGCGCTCGTCTTAGTAATATCATAATTAGGAACTCCTCCAATATACAGAGGAGAACTACACTTTATCTGTGTAAATGCACCCTGAGAAAGAGAAGAGAGAGAAAGATGATTATTATTATTATTACAATATATACATACAAAATAACCTAAGAAAGCATTCAGATCCCTTGTATTATACATTTATTTCTGATAGAATAGATTTTGTTGTCATTATCTGATGCACAATAGCCCATACAACATGAAAAGTGTTAAAAGGTTTTCAGTCTGTCATTAAAGCAATAAATAAAATAATATACAAGAATGTAGTCCAGTTCTAAATGTGTATATTGGAAATAAATGTGTAAAGGTATATGACTATATTCATTTAAAATCCAAATACACTACCAAAAAGTTAAGATTGTTTTTAAATTAGAGCAAGGGCACATTCAATTGATCAAAAGTGACATGCTAAAAAAGATTTATATTTCAAATAAATGCTGTTCTTCTGAACTTTCTATTCGTTCATTTTTATAACAGTTTCCAAAAAATATATTTAAAAATATAAAAATAAATATAAAAAAAATATTACCCACAGCACGAATGTTTTAAACATTGCTAATAATCAGAAATGCTTCTTGAAGCAGCAAATTAGACTGATTTCTGAAGGATCATGTGACACTGAAGACTGGAGTAATGATGCTGACAATTCAGCTTTGATCACAGGAATAAATGACATTTTACAATATATTACAATACAAAACAAATTGTGATAATATTTCACAATATTACTATACTATGTTACTGTATTTTTGATCAAATAAATGCTGCTTTGGTAAACATAAGATACTTTTATCCCCCCCCAAAAAATTAAACGTACCAACCCCAAACTTTTAAACGCTAGTGTATATGATTAAAAATAATATAAAAATCTCTTCACCTCTGCCATGCCTTCCACTGGTCTCTGGTTGTCTACCTGTAGAATGCCATTTTTTGCTGTTCGAGACACACGCAACTCATGCCACACATCCAAAGTGACGGCCTCTTCACTCCTGTCAACAGAAGCAAAAATATAGTTTCTGGTCCTACACAATATTTGACAGCTGTGGATTCACAGTCATCTACTAAAACGGGAAAGGGACTCAAATGTTTAGCATTTCCACTGTATACTCAACCTGATAACACTGGCACCCGAGCCGCAGTCGAAGCGAAACTCCACATATCCGTCCACCAGGCTGACTGACAGGAAGTCCCGGCTGGCGGCATCATCGGTGTAGAGGAGCGTGCCGTCGGGATTGGTCGGCTGGAAGGTCACCTCAAACTCCATGAAGGACAGGTAGTTGTGGGAGGGCTGAGGCCAGGGGGCGCTGGCGTACGAGAACATGCTCTCGTTAAACTGGGGTAGAGACAACAGGAAACCTGGAACCATTGAGAAATATGAAGTCGGGTCAGTGGCTGCATCCAAAATCGCATACTTCCACACTATATAGTAGGTGAAAAACAGTATGTGACAAAAGTAGTGTATGTCTGAATTCACAGTACTCATAAAAGAGTAGGCAAAAAGTACCCGGATGATCTACTACTTCCAGCGAGATTATTTTGCATAAGATGGACACTTTACTATCCCATGAGGCCACGGGAGAGAATTTGTGAATGGCAGTGAAGTGACGTAACTGACGCTGGTCGGTCACATGATAATGACAGCATGGTGAATGTAGTATGTCCAGATTACACTCATACTATATAAAACATATTTCTTTAGCGGTCGTGAAGTAATTACTTATTCAAAATAAGTACCTAGTATGTGATTTCCGACGCAGCCAGTGTGATTGGTCGCAATTGGTGGATAAAAATGGCATTTGCAGTTGATATTTATGATCTGACATTTCTGATAAACGATATTTATAATATTGCAATATTCATTTTGAAACCTGAAATTGTAATTGTACAATTACTTCTTCCTCATTTGTTAATATGTTCACAGATAACTGCAGATTTATGTGTTTTTAGTGTCTACGTAAATAAGTTTATTATTCTGTGCAGTTACAATTGTATTTATTATTATTGCTACTTCATTTGTCATGGTTCCTGAATGTGAACTGTATGTATGTCATATATATATATGTTTTTCCACTGTGGTGTTTTCGTTTCTTCTCTTGTGAAAAAGAAGTGTGGTTAGTTGTATTAAATGTGCACTATAAATCCTAAAAGCATGTTTTTTGGAAAAAAAAAAAATATTTGCAGATAGAGTACATTTTAATGACCATTTCTTAAAAAGTGCACTTTTAAATCATTATGTTTTAATCTTTAGTCGTGCTTTAAAGTACACTTATTTTGATGTGATGACTAACATACTAAAGCACATGTAAAGTACTTGATTATAATTTTAACTTTAGTGTTTTTTGAGATTACATTTAAAGCAAATATATTTTAAATGTACTAAATTGCAACTTTATCATTACATATGTAAAATTGCATATATATCTAAATGCATGACATACATGTTTCAATAGAAATTACAGTAGTATATTTTAGTTATACCATAAATGCTTGTCAGTACACTAACCATATTTCAAAGACACCATAAGTAATTATGCAATTACATATAAAGATGTACTTAAGCGGGTCAAAAATGCACTCTGAAGTTTAGATAACTGCATTTAATATAAATTTAAGCTATAATACATTTTCATTGAATTATAACATGCAATTAAGTGTCCAATTCTATAACAATAGGTTTGCATTTAAGTATATTCTTTCAAAAATATATTATTTCTGTAATAAGTACTCTTTTTAAAAGTATGCAGAAATGTGTTACTTTTTCACAAGGATTCCCCAGCACACAGGAGGGAAGAGATATTAAAAACCACTTGACTTAGTATATACTAGAAATTATAAATGTGAGTGGTTCTTGTTACTGCCACAAAGCGTGTGTGTGTGTGTGTGTGAGGGTGACTCACTCTCCTCACAGAGGAAGCCCTTATAGCCCAGAGGGCACAGGCAGATGAAGCCATCGGCTCGGTTGGCAAAGCAGATTCCTCCATTAGCACAGGTGACCTTCTCACACACACTGTTGCTGCACTCGCCTGAAACACACAGAAGAGAGGAAGATGCTTTGAACACATACACAGTGATCCCTATAAGTATGTGGACATTTAAACATGCCTATATATCATTGCATTAGATCACTACACTACGGATAAAGTTTGGGGTCAGTAATGTTTTATAATTTTAATAATAAAATGAAGTCTCAGCAAGGGTGTGTTTATTTTGGTCAAAAATACAGTAAAAGCATTATTGTAGTGAAATATTATTACAATTTAAAATAACTTTTTCTATGTTAATATATTTTAAAATGTCATTTATGTAATTTATTCCAGTGATGCATTCTTGTCACTTTTGATTAATTGAATGCATCCTTGCTGAATAAACGTATAAAAAAAAAAGTATCTTACGACCACAAATTGCGAATGTTAGTGTAAAATATTTACTTTTACCTCCTGAGATTTTAAGCAGGTAAACAAATAAAAAGTGTTTTATTTTTATTGCTATTACTTTTAAAATTACCGTATGTATTTTAATTTTACATTTATGATTTAATTGATAGCTTTTCATCAACTCAAAATAGCAAAGCAAGTGATATTTATTCCAAAGAAAAATAAACATGCATACTTTAAACAAAACATTTGAGAAAAAGAAGAAACTTTAGACAAAACTTATTTGGACACACTTATAGTTATTCTCCAACTAACCAATGTCTGCTCCGCTCAGTGCATTTCCTTTAGGCCAGGGTCGGATGTCAGAGGCTTTACTGTTGACCGTCAGACTCTGCATGCAGCCCTGAAACCCACGATTGGTCCCCACTGCCCTCACCAGCCAATAGCCATTCGGAGCACCACCCAAAAACAAAGGCGTGCGGAATGTTATTTTAGTGTACTGACCCTGAGAGAGAGAGAGAGAGAGAGAGAGAGAGAGAGAGAGAGAGAGAGAGAGAGAGAGAGAGAGAGAGAGAGAGAGAGAGAGAGAGAGAGAGAGAGAGAGAGAGAGAGAGAGAGAGAGAGAGAGAGAGAGACAAAGAATAGAGGTTGTTAGATACATTTTATAGTCCTGGGGCCAGTTGCATAACATAGCCATTATGTTAAGACAGCATCTTAAGATCTAGTATGAGCCACTAGCAGTTAGTCAAGGGGCAACCAGTCTTACTTTTTGGCATCAAATTAGGCCAGTCTATGTTTTTATGTAACTGATTTTTTAAAAAGGTTATGAACAGTCTTATTTATGTTATGTCTAACTTGTAAGACTAGCAACCAGCCCCTGGATGCTGATTGGTCAATGCAGTGTATGACACAAAACCAACTGTGTACGTGTGAATATCACGGTATGCTGTGTTTGTGTATTAGGGCATGCGTACCTGAGAACGGCCTGATACCGGTGTGTCGTTATCTAATCGTAGCCAGCCATTCATGCCGTCTCGAAATATTGTGACAGTGTGCCACCGACCAATCACAATGGAGCTGTCACTCACGATCTGCGCCGCCCCCGTACCGCAGTTAAACCTGCGCACATGATAGTCAAGATCAATTACTAATAATCAATCTAAATTCAGAGAATTAAAAAAATTAAGAAATGAATCAAGACTCAATAGCAGAAGTATAATTTGCACTTGCAAGGAAGCAAAAAAAATATTTTATGTAAAACAATGAAAAAATTATAGTTTTAGCTAAATAGATGAATAGATATAAGTGGAAAGAACAATCATGATTCAATATAAGCAACAGAGCAACAAACAAACAAATGATGACAATCCAGTATGCAAATATTAATAGGATTGTGTGTGAATGTATGTATTGTAATAGTTCATAAGGTCTGTATGAAGTATGAAGTACAGTTATTTCAAATACAGAGCACATCTAAGGTGCAAAATGGCTACAAACCAAAGCTTGGTTGAAATCTACATGAACTGAAAAGTAACATCAGGAAATTGTGGAGATTAAAGTGTTTGCAAGAACCATAATTAAGACTCAAATTAAATTGGAGATACCTGTAGTGTAGTTTCCCCCGTACGAGGGCCAGGGAGGTGAAATCTCCTCGACCATGTTCATTCTCTCCACAATACAACAGCAATCCATCCTCAGCCTCTGCCTGAGAGGTCAAAGCAGTGATTCATAAGAGTCCGGACTCATAAACCTCTCAAACGCTTCAAAGTCTGCCTGTATATGTGATTATACCTTAAACTCCAGGCTGATCTGGAAGCCCTGGTACGAGTTTTTAAGGGGTTCAAACGTCATGTGAGAATAGCCATAGAACTTCGGGAAATTTACCATCAGACCTGCAGAACACAGATGTGTGGTTACATTAGTTTTGAAATCTTTTTTTGCATACACACCCTCAGTATACTGTGTTACATTACTTGGGAGTCTATAGAGCCAAACACTGTGACTGAAGGTCATGGAAAATGATTTCTTTCAGTCCGTTTGGACAAGCTTTCTGGCCCGGTATCTTCTTCTGTGACGGAGTTGGGGTTACAGAGCGTTTCATCTCTTGGGCACAAATCCCATAGTTCATTACTGCCATGTCACATTCACACACAGAGCTACAACATGACTCTTAGCACAAACCCTAATTAAACCCAAACTGAAGGGCACCTAAACTACTGTTCAAAAGTTTGAGGTCGGAAATATTGTGAAATTTTATTCAAATTTAGACTGTTTTGTATTTAAGTATATTGTAAAATGTAATTTATTCCTGTGATCAAAGCTAAATTTACAGCATCATTACTCCAGTCTTCAGTGTCACATGATCCTTCAGAAATCATTATAATATGATTTGCTGCTCAAGAAACATTTCTTACCATTATCAATGTTGAAACCTGTCATGCTGCTTAATATTTTTGTGGAAACTGTTTTTGTGCACAATTCCTTTTTTTTTTCATTATTCTTTGATGAATAGAAAGTTCAAAAGAACAGCAATTATTTGAAATGTCTTTTGTAAAATTGTACATGTCTTTACTTTTGATTAATTAAATGTACCCTTGCTTAAAAAATATTAATTTCTTTCAAAAAAAAAAAAAAAAATTCTGACTCCAGCCAAACTGTTGCTAGTGCTACAAATAAAAGGTCAGAAAATACACTTTTAACAGATATTAATATTTAAAATCGACCATCTTTCTCCACTAGGAATATAGACTAAAAGAAAGACAGACCACAACAGAAGTCCAACAAAAATGCCCTTAAAAGCATATATATATATATATATATATATATATATATATATATATATTGCGACCACGAATTAAGAATTTGTTCCCATGACAAAAACAATTTTTTCCCTCATTTTAGTAAATGGTGACCAAGTTGAACTAATTCGTTTCCTTGTTTTGATATAGCCTAACTAAAACTAGGACAAATTATTACAACGTGGCCACGATTCACTTAAAACTATAGAGAACGAATTAGTAAAATGCGCTGACATAGTAATAAGTCAAGGAAACGAATTGTTAATTCATGACCACGTCCATGATATACATATTTTTTGTCCGCATGTCATGTCAGGGCCCCATAGTGTAAGTTTGGAACTAATGGAAAGCATAAGTGCTCCCCCTAGAGGCTGAAGGAATATGTGTTATATATATATATATATGTCTACTAGGCTTTTATTACCCAAGATGATGTTACTTTTGACACTCAAAATTAGTTCAGCTCACTAGAATAATGAGATTTCAAGAAATGGCAATTTTCAGCAAAACTTGTATTGCATTTAAACATATTGAAACTGGTATGCAATACTGTGAGAGATTTAGAACAATGAAGCAATATCTAGTCTGTGGAGTCAACTTGTTTTAAAAATGTTATTGAGCTCGCTCTGAAAAGGTTAGACAGAAAGAGAAATCCCAGGGGAATATACAACAGCACATGCAAACCGCCATTCTCAAAGATTACACACTCCCAACAGACCTCAGAGAAGACAAGAGAGAGACAGATGGAGGAAACAATCAAATGAAAAAGGAAAAGAGACAAATTCTTCAAGCATCTGAGAGAGTGGTTAGTAGATTTCTAAGGTTCTTGATCTTATTTAATCAAACTTTTGGAGAAATGTGTTGGTTAGTTTGGGGTTGCTGCAACCCACGAAAAAACAACAACAACAAAAAAAAAACATGTAGCAAGTTGCAACACCGTAAAAGTAGCCCAATTCCACAGGAAAACTGCAGACTTGGCAACACTGGACACAGTTCACACTTGTTTAACCAGTCAGCAAAACACTGGGTGCTTCTCAATACTCAAATTGATGCTTCCTCGTACTCAGCCATCTTGAAGGACATCTCAATTGTCTAATTACGCCGCGAGGAATGAGGAAGCTTCCTGAGGAGTCATAAACGAGGATACACAGGTGTATCCTTCCCTCGCATCTTAAGGGGGATAGTTCACTTTGAAATTAATTTTTGATATGTTTTAGCTTACCTCAAGGGCATCCAAGATGTAGGTGTCTTTGTGTCCACAGTATTTTCAATTTTGATATTTTTAGGTCAAACCGTTGTTGTCTGTCGGTCATATAATGCAGGTCTATGGTCACCACCTCAAAGAGCATGCACAGAGAAGTCCAAATTAAACATGATTTAATGACTCGTAAATGTAAGTACACATTGATGGCCTAAGACACGAAACGAGCGGTTTGTGTGAGAAAACGAACAGTATTTATATCGTTTTTACCTCTTGTAAACACAGCCACGTCCAAGTGATCTGAGGGCGCGGGTGGTTCGGTCTTCCGGAAAGCGTCGGAAGTGAAACCTCGCGCGTGTACGTCACTCATTGTTTACACAGAGAAGAGATTGTAGGTAAGACGGCTAATTAAAAGGGTACTAATTTGCGCTTATTCGGGGATGTTTAAACCGTCGTAAAAGAAAACAATTCCAAAAAAATAAAACAATTGTATGAGTGACGTACACACGCGAAAGATCACTTCCGGTGCTTTCCGGAAAAGACCGAAGCGCTCGCGCCCTCAGATCACTTGGACGTGGCTGTGGTTACAAGAGGTAAAAACGATATAAATACTGTTCGTTTTCTCACACAAACCGCTCGTTTCGTGTCTTAGGCCATCAATGTGTACTTACATTTACGAGTCATTAAATCATGTTTAATTTGGACTTCTCTGTGCATGCTCTTTGAGGTGGTGACCATAGACCTGCATTATATCAGCCTTTCTCAAAGTGGGTGCCGCGGCACACTGGGGTGCCCCCTGACTTTGTCAGGGGTGCCGCCAAAAAATTACGTAGGCTAAAAAAAAAATATATATATATATATATATATATATATATACAGTATATATATATATATATATATATATATATATATATATATATATATTTGAATTTACATAAATACATTCTTCTTTTTAAACATATGAACGTATTAATAAAATTGTAAATTCATTTTAGATAAATATATATATATAAAATTAACCATAAAAATCCGTCTCACAAGACCGAAGCAAGACACACACACAACTTGACGCAAGTGACGCAACCCATAGCAACGCGTTATAGCAACAACACCGACCGCGCGAACGCGCGTCACACAGCAACTGCAGGCTCTGACAAACACACATACAAACTATACTACCGGTATACTTCTGCATAACGTGTCTCTTTTTACAACAAAAATGTGAATTCTGCCGGTATTCAGACAGTCCCATGCATACAGATACAGATCCGGCCTACAATCGCCTACGTTGGCCGAAATTTGTTTGACATTTCTAATAGTAAACACAGCCATGTTGAAGCCTGCAGTAATGTTTTTCATTGATGTTATGGCAGTCCACTCTGCTTATTGTTTTTCGAGAATCTTGCACTCCTGTTTGTCATTGTGCACGAAACTTCATGCCAATAAATCATCAGAAATATTGCTGACTTGTGCGCGTCTCAAGCGCACTCTTTACGCTCGTCCTCCTAATGCCTGTTAGTTGTCCGTGGATTTGCCTATATTTGGCGCTGAAAATGGAAACGTCTTTAGACATGGAAAATCGATTTTACAATCGATTCAATGAACGTCGGTTTATGTCTCAAAAATCGATCAGGATTTTTTCACAAAAGTGATAGCCCTGTAAAGTTGTTATTATTATTGTTATTGTTATTTACAGTTCGTATTATGCTCTGTTCATTACTGTTCTGTCTAAATAAACAGGACATTTGCATTTACATTTGGGTTATGCAGTGTTTTTAATTTATATTTTACACTGGGGTGCCTTGAGATTTTATGCACTTTTGAAAGGTGCCCCGACTGAAAAAAGTTTGAGAAAGGCTGCATTATATGACCGACAGACAAGAACGGTTTGACCTAAAAATATCAAAATTGAAAATACTGTGGACACAAAGACACCTACATCTTGGATGCCCTTGAGGTAAGCTAAAACATATCAAAAATTAATTTCAAAGTGAACTATCCCTTTAAGGGGGTGGAGCTAAGACAGAGGAAAGAGAAGAAAGGAAACCAGGATGCGCAAATAAGAAATGAGAAGCACCCTCTATCTGCATGGTTAATGTTGCATGTTTAGGTTTGCAGACATGTGTCCTTAGAGGGCAGGGTGTCGGTGAGAGGACGCGGTCTAATTCAATAACACCATTTAAAGGGATACTTCACCCAAAAATGAAAACTCTGTCATCATTTACTCACCCTCAAGTCATTCTAAACCTGTTTGACTTTTAAAAGTCAAGATATTTTGAAAAACATTGGGAACCAAACAATATTGGAGCCCATTGACTCCAATATTGACAATATGCCCATTGACAATATGAACAAAAAATAAAATGCTCAAAATATCTTCTTTTATATTATACAGAATAAAGAAACAAACTGTTTTGGAACAAGATGAGGGTTACCACAACAAAACAAAACAAATTAAGGCTAAATAGAAATATTTAACAAAAAATAATAATAATGAAAATGACAAAAGCATAAAAACTAAATTACTCAAATTAAAATGAAACCTGAAAATATAAAAATAAAAGCTATTCAAAATATTAATAAATACAAGAGTTGTATATAAATACTAAAATAACGCTGTTCCAACCTGGTCAACCAAAGTTAACTATTAAATATGATGAAATATATAAAAACATCTAAATGCTCATTTCTATAGCTGGCACTGCACACATTACATGCATATAAATTTATTTGAGTATCTTTGAAATTTGAATATTTCTTTGAAAATCATCAATTCAATTCAATTAATATTTACATTCAATATCAAATTGCAATTGTTTTCCTGTTTTCTACCTCAATTCAAATTCTGGAATTTAATTAGAATTTAAAAGACATATTTCAGTTTTCAACCCAGGTTTTCCCCATGTTCCAAAACAGGGACTAAATTGAAACCGCTGTTATTTTAGTATTACTGATATACTATTATAGTTTCTTTTTAAATATTTTGAATTTAATTTTTATTTTGTTTTGAGTGTGAGTAAATGATAACCAATTAAAATTGTTGGGTAACCTATCCCTTTAAGTCTCCTGGAATGTTAGCAAACCGGTAAAATCACTTCCAGATGAATTTTTGTGTTGCGAAGCCCCGCCCACAGTGAAATCGTATTAGTAATCTAACAAAACTATCAAATACTACACACAGCATATTCACTCTGAAACAGACAGAACTAACTAACCTTCTGAGCAGAGTTCTCCCTGGCGACCGAGGTTGCAGTGACATCGAGAGCCGCCGGTATCGTAATCATTGATGCAGAAGCTGTCAGGAGGGCAGACCGTCTCGTCACATGACACGTCGTAGACCCGTGGTCTTTCCCCTTTCCACGGTGTCATTGACGGGCTGGGAGATGGCACCGCAGGAGGAGGCGTAGTAGGAGCGGCGCCTGTCAGTATAACCGGTGTGGTGGTTGTCCTGGAGGCGGAGCTAGCGACCGTTGTCATGGTTATAGTTGTTGTTGATGAGATATTTTGGGAAGCAGGTGTACGCATCCTATAAATAACATTTCCGTTACCGGGAGTCCCGATGCGGGAGCGTAGCTGAGACCGCCTGCCACTTTTCTTACTGTTAGGAATCTTAATCTGCAAAAAACAGAATGCCAGAAAAATTAATAACAGCACATACTGAGTGACAATATGTTGTCTATTGTGTATACAGTTGTATTTATAGAATTTTTATAGAGTTTTGCCTCTTCTAATGTGTTTTAGGTTTCTTTAAAGGGGTCATGAACTACATTTTTAAAATTATTTTATAATGTTTCCTGAGGTGCACTTATTAAAGGAACACTCCGACTTTTTGGGACTTTAGCCTATTGGGCGGAGTGATAACCGCAGCACCTGAGACGAACTCTCTGCTCCTCACCACGGCGCGTCTCAGGTGCTGCGGTTATCACTCCGCCCAAGTAGCAGTGCTTCGCCTTCAGAGAATATAGTTCCCAGGATTTATACGGTTAAAATATGTCTGTGTCTCATGTGACTTCGTTTTTTGTACACTCTGTGACTATACAAATCACAACATGTAAATAGGAAAATGTTTGTGTTATTTTGTCACTTATTTGGATTAGTATGCTAGCTGCAACCATTTACATCCCGTCTTTGTGCTAAGCTAGGCTAGCGGTGGGTGCGTCAAACAGACTTATAGCACGCACGGAGATGGAAAAGGTATGTATGGACTTATCTAACTCTGGGGGATAAGGTGAATAGGCTAAAGTCCCAAAAAGTCGGAGTGTTCCTTTAAGTTAGTATGATTTTAACATCATTGAAGGGGCGTGTCTGTTGGGAGACTTCAGTGTAAACGCCCACCGCTGTGATTGGCTATCATATTTGCATATGAAATAAGTATTACACGTGAAACTCTCTCAATTATCTGTTGAGCATATAAATGCAGTGATCTTATCGATAATTGCACTCTCACGAAGGCTTTCATCGTAACTAACAGTGCAAACATGATGTAAATAAGAGATTCATTGTGCAGTGTAGACAGCATCATTGATTATAATATTTGGTGAGAGTCCAGAACTCAGTCACTGATAAACTCGCGCTGTGATTGACAACTCCAGCGATTATAAAGGGAGCGTTCTTTGATTACTTTCTGTAGGCCTATATAACTTAAAGGTGACCTATAATTCAAAATTGAATTTACCTTGGTATAGTCAAATAACAAGAGTTCAGTGCATGGACATGACATAGAGTGAATCTCAAACTTAATTCACGTTTATGAAAAACACCCCTGAAAAACGGTCGGTTCTCCACACAATACCGACTGTGACGCAACAGTCGGGATCATTAATATGTACGCCTCCAAATATTTGCATAATGCCAGCCCTCAATGCCAGGCGGAACTGCGCAGCCGAAGCATGGCAGTTGCTCAGTGTGGATGTACACATGAACACAAAAGTATTTTTTAGTTTCTTCATCTGAGCCTCTGAAGAAACAATGGGTTAATTTTATTTTCTCTGGAAATTTCCAAACATTTCACCGACTGTTTCCTCAACTTGGGCAAATACAGAGCTGGCCTCGGATCGAGCTACCAAGCAACACTTTCTGATGTGTAATTGTTCAAGTTCAGACAGGTAATCTTTCTCTCAAAATCGTGACTAAACTATCAGCTTCACATCGTTTCTTTTAGTAGGATGAAAATAATCGTATTTAAATTGTGAACAAATTATATACAGAAAGCGATCAAAGAACAATCTTTCCACACAGCGCGAGTTTATCTGGACACTTGCCAAACTCGTTATGAAATCAATGACGCACGTTACTGCACAACGAAGCTCTTACTGTATTTACATCATCGTGTTTGCATTGGTGAAAGCAGAGAGAGTGCAGAAACTGCTTTGCAATGATTAGATCTTCATTCTCGCTATCAACACACTGTCATCTGCTCAATGCTCATCACGGCAACATTTTATGTGATGGGAATAGATCTAAATACTTTAAAAACATCTCACGATTCGTTAATCTCGATAGCTGTTATAGTAAAAACGTATAATAGCAGTAGTAAAAGTATTCGGGAGAGAGTTTCACATGTAATGCGTAGCTATTTCATATGCAAGCATGTCAGCCAATCACAGCAGAGGCCACGGTTACACTGAATCCCACAGCAGACACGCCCCTTCAAACAGAGTGTTCAAATCAGAGGCTAAAAGCAGGCTAGGAAAAATGCCATTTATTTCTAAATTATGATTATTTTTTATCTAAAAAACATACTAACATTATAAGGGTAACCCAGGAAACATTGTAAAAAAAAAAAAAAAAAAACATTCTAGGGCACCTTTAATCACAATTTAAATAACATATTATTTTCATGCTACTAAGAGAAACAATGTGAAGTTGACAGTTTAACTTTAGTCACTGGCTTGATTTACTAATGCAGTAAACAGCAATAAACGATTTTGAGACAAAGAACGTCTGGCTGTACATAAACCATTACATATCAGAAATCCCTGATAACAGATCAGGCATTAGAATTAACACAGTTACTTACATGTTGTGGCATCACTGTCGTGTCCATAACTTACAGTAAAATTCTGTTTGCAAAGCCTGCGCCGAAATTGTGACTGATTTACCAAATAATCCACAGTGAAATGAACCGAACCAACTAATAATGCTCTACTGAGACATTCACATAGTTGAAAAAGATAAATAACCCCATTCCTAGCATTAGTATCCTATGGAAGGTAATGTTATTTTTAGTCCAATGATCCTGCATCTCTCTTTTCTCCTTCTCATCTCACTAATGTGCCAGTGGGCGGGGCCAAAGAAAGACACGATGATGTAGAAGTAGGCATTGATTTTCTTCTGCAGAGGTGGTCAAGTCATAATGTGACGAAATCTGAAACGAGTCGTCTTCGGAGCTTGGTTACAATAAAAGCTGTTTTTGGACTAATGAGGAAGTTTTGAGTTCTGAAACTTACATGATATTTTTATTGTGCAATGACCTCTTACATGTCAAAATATCAAGGTAAATTTGATTGTAAATTTGACCCCATTAAAATCACAAAAGATCGCTCACCTCCTCAACGAAGACGTCATAGTCCGAGTCATCGATTTCAAACTCATCTTTCCTGTCAGAGTTTGAGATGTAGACGTCAGAGTCTCCACTGCCTACATCCATTGAACCTGTTTTTAAAGCAGGGGATTAATGTACTTTAAAGCAGGGGATCGTGTACTTCTGTCATTTGGCCTCATAAATACAGTTAGCAGGACAAAAAAATCACCATGATTTCATGCACAGAACACATCTGACTTTTAGAAACATAGAAGGTTTCTAAGGCTTGTTCATGTTGCACACAATTCTGATTTGTTCGTCCCTTTTGTCCACTTTCAACCACTTCTGTCCTGAAATTTTCGAGGGGAGAACCACATTTACATTCACTTTTGTCGACCGCATTTACATATGAACGCGCCTAGAGATGACTGAAAAGGGAAAGAGTTAAAAGGCATGCCCGATTCAGTTCTGAATGGCGCACAACCCTAAAGGTTACATGTGAGGTGCTCTTTATCCAGTTGTTTTTGAATCCAATTGGTTGGAAGCCGACGCCAACCGAATTATGACCAATGCTCTCTTGAACCTGTGTAGCTGAATGAGTTGCTGTGATTGGACTGTAAATGTGTGTGTAGGGGTCTATGCTCTTAATCTGTCTGCTGGAGGGTTGGGGGCGGGTAAGTACTGTAGCTGTAAGCCTCCTCAAGTGTGTTTGTGTGACATTGAGGAGGGTCTTCCTCAAAATGAGCAGGCTTTAAGATGCTTAATTTAATTAGTCTGGTCTTTCCAGCCAGCATGAACACGAAAAACCCCCTCCTTAAATCTGTGAGGAGCATCCAAACTCTAACTAGTACAATTATAAAAAACATGCAAACCACACATAAGTAGTCATTTAGACCCTTTTATCCACCGTACAAATATTATAGGGACAAATCAAGGGCACCAGCAACCTTAAGGTCATGTCCAGTGCTGTAACTTACCGAGTGTGCGCACGGGGTTGTTAATGGCACTGGGAGGACTGATCCCATGTGCGTTCACGGCTCTGATGACAAACTGGTACTCCGTGTCAGGCATCAGACCCTTGAGCACCATAGAGTTCGACTCTATTGGCTCTCTGATGTACGTCCACTCAGTGTCCATCTCCGGCCTGCAACACACACACACACACA